TGTGTGTGTGTCTGTGTCTGTGTGTGTGTGTGTGTCTCTGTGTGTGTGTCTGTGTCTGTGTGTGTGTGTGTGTGTGTGTGTGTGTGCAAAGGTCAGTTTTGCTCAGTGTTGTTTGTGGTTCTTGCGAGCAGATAGCAGGTCTGCAGTCCAGTCTGAAACTCTACAGGAGTGAGAACACTCAGCTGCAGGAGCGAGTGAAGGGTCTGGAGAGTTTAGCTGACGCTCAGATCAGCGGCACAGGTGACCCTTACAGCACGAGTCTGCTCCAGTTAACAGTAAATGACACCGGGTGCAATGCACATATATGAAAGATGTTAATGTAATGTAAAAGAAGAATTATATAGAGGAATTCCAAGACTGTAGATTTTGTTTTCATTGCATTGCATTTCAATTCTTCCAGACTGTAGTTCTGCTATTGCATTTTTGCTGGACTTGGGATCAAACCTTGCTTTATATTCATGTGTTTAATCGTGTGTTTTGCGTACCAACCAGATGATTCTGCTTTAAAAACATGGAAGGAGGCAAAGGAGAATGCAGAGGGGCAGGTATGCAAAGGACAGTTTTCTCTGTTATGTGTATTTTTGTCCATGACCTACAACATCAGACCAGTGCAGACTGAGCCTCGCTTAAGCAGCCAGTGTAAAACCTGCCGTAAAAAGCAGCTTCTGTTCAATAATAAAGTCTTTTAGGCATTTTCTTTCTTTTCATGAGCTTTATTTTTTGAGTATATAGGCATTTGACTTCAGATATACGGCCTCAGAGCAACAGGACATGGTTTCTGCGGGTTTATGGGATTAATAAATCGTGAATTGGCCATTTAACACACTTTTGCTGATTAACTTCTTTCTTTGGCACAGGTTGAATTCCTGAACTCGGTTATTGTGGATCTGCGGCGGAAGAACGAAGACTTGACATCTAAACTGGAGACGATGTCTGAAGCAGCGCTCAATGGGAACGGTGCAGCCGAGACGGACGCTCACAGCAGGTGTGTGGCTCTGTTTTCTCAGCATACATCACAAGAACTCATGTGTTTTCATCTCATCTTCAAACGTAGCTTTACTGGTTTTATTATTTGACTTTGGGTGCGCACACATTTTGTAGACTTGGCGATGGCTTTTAGTTCCTCCAACTATAAAAATGTCATTCTGTGTACATAAAAATATAGAAGAGGATTTTCCTTAATTCCTCTGTATTGTTTAGAATCAGATCGATTATTTCAGCCTGGGTTATCCATGCTTCATCCATCTTTTTATTTTATGTTGATATGCAAAATGTGTAAAAACAGAAGAAGATTTTTTTGCACAGGTATGTTGAATTAAAAAAATGTTAAAATATTTTTTTATTAAGTTTGTTACACAAAGTCTCACACCCTAGTCATGCCGAGCCGACGCTTAAAAAGAAACCCCCTAGAAATGGCTACAAACATGCTAGTCACTTGCTAATCATGCTAGCAACATGTTAGTTACTTTTTAATCATGCTAGCAACATGCTAGTAGCATGCTAATCATGCTAGCAACATGCTAATCATACTAGAAACATGTTAGTGACATGTTAGTAACTTGTTAATCATATTAACAACATGCTAGTAACATGCTAGTCATGCTAGAAACATGCTAGTCACTTGTTAATCATGCTGGCAACATGCTTGTAGCATGCTAATAATGCTAACAACATGCTAATCATACTAGAAGCATGTTAGTGACATGTTATTAACTTGTTAATCATGCTATAAACATGTTAACAACATGTTAGTAACATGCTAATCATGCTAGAAAAAATTTAGTTACTTGCTAATCATGCTAGCAACAGGCTAGTAACATGTTAATCATGCTAGAAAAATGTTAACAACATGCTAGCAACTTGCTAATCATGCTAGTAACACTAATCAGACTAGAAACATGCTAGTCACTTGCTAGTCATACTGGCAACATGCTAATCATACTAGAAACATGTTAGTGACATGTTATTAACTTGTTAATCATGCTAGTAACACTAATCAGACTAGAAACATGCTAGTCACTTGCTAGTCATACTGGCAACATGCTAATCATACTAGAAACATGTTAGTGACATGTTATTAACTTGTTAATCATGCTAGTAACATGTTAGGGACATGTTATTAACTTGTTAATCATGCTATAAACATGTTAGCGACATGTTAGTAACTTGTTAATCATGCTAGTAACATGCTAATCATGCTAGAAAAAATTTAGTAACTTGCTAATCATGCTAGCAACATGTTAATCATGCTAGAAACATGTTATCAACATCTATCAAAAGTTTCAAACTTCAGGCTTTTACAACTACTTTAAACTTTCAGGCTAGGCGTTCTCAAGCCAACCTAGAGTTTGTCTTCTTGACGAACTTTTTCGTCTAGTTTTATGTTGATATGCAAAATGTGTAAAAAGAGAATAACATTTAGTTGTGCACAAGTATGTTGAATTAAAAATGGTTTTATTAAGTTTGTTACACAAAGTCTCACACCCTGGTCTTCTACACCTAGTCACGCCGAGCCCACGCTTAAAAAGCAGGCCCCTCCCCGTCTCTTCTGTGACATCTGTGACTGCTTCGACCTGCACGACACCGAGGACTGTCCCACCCAGGACCAGATGCTGGACTCGCTGCCACACACCAGCTACCACGGCAGCACCAGCGACCAACGACCGTACTGCGACATCTGTGAGGTCTTCGGCCACTGGACCGAGTCCTGCAAAGACGATCAGACTTTCTAGCGTCCCGCTTCATCTGTACTTGCAGTGCTATGCCTCGAATCAAACCGTGCACAAACGACTGTGCTTTTTCACTCGTGTGTTTGCCGCCATATAAGCCTGAACCTTTCACTCACTTTACAGCAAGCGTCTGCAGTTTACTCGGTGGCAGGGTTAGGAGGGTTTAAGTTCACTTTGAAATAGTGAATGCTCATTCTTTAAGTGGTGGGAGAAGCTTAAAGGCTTCAGTGCTGACCTCTAGAGGACGGGAGGCTTGACTTCTCAACAGCCTTGCACAGATCAGCCAGAGACCTATTCATATAAAGAGTAAATTATTCCAGAATTGTGAAAATGTCGTCATTTCTAAATAAAAAATAAGTATGTTTCAGTCCTTTATTATCTTTCAGAATGACCGTTAGTGAAGTGTTTCTAAAAGAGTGTATTTAAAACACCTGTTTTTGTTACTTTATCGCTTTAATATTATGATGATGATGAAGTTGTGGAGATCTGGAATGTATGAAATTGTTTTTAGTAAAGCCAGGTGGTATGCGAGACATTTATTTGTATAAAGCTCAAGGGAGGGGGGCAGGTTTTATGGAAATAAACTTCAAAAAATATCTTTTAAGTGCAGAAAACATTGTTGTGTTGTATGTTCATGCTAAGTGCTGCTCTAAAGTAATATAAATGCATAATATTAAAATATAATTTTTAAATGCACTGAATTATCGAAAGCGTACACATTTTTGAACGATTACAATTTAAGTTTTTATTATTATTATTCGCTAGTAACCTAGTAAAGCTGCTAATGCTCATCAGTTAATCAGTGGAACATGAATAGAAGTGACGATTCTGTCTGAGCTAGGTGATTCTGTCACACGCACAGATGTGTAAACTGAAGACTATTTGAGCTTTATTAAAACTATTTGCACTGATTTTTTGTTTGTTACATTTTGTTGCTTTGTGCAGTGGCTTTGAGATTGTATAAACATCAACAAGCTGAAAAATAAAATCAACGTTTTGTTTTTTTTTTAGATAATGTAAACTTGTTCAAATAGATTTCATAAAATTGGTATCGAAAAAAGATCGTCCAGGAACCGGTATCGAAGTCAAGGTATCGATATCGAAAATTTTTGAACGATACCCAGCCCTGGTCTTTCTAGTTGAAATTAAAATTTCACATATCAGAAAAACAATTCTTACTAGTAAAAACCTTTATTTTTGATATCAGTAATCAGATTGTTACCGTTACAGACGTCTATTCTTGATATCAGCAATTGAATTGCTTCTAGTAAAAATGTTCATTTTTGATATCAATAATTAAATCGTCACTATTGACAATGTTAATTTCTGATTGTTACCAGTAAGAAAGCCATTTTAGATATCAGAAATTATATTGATGTCAGATGCCTTTTTTCAGATATCGGAAATAACAAATGTAACATGTTGAAATACATTTACGGATATCAAGAATTAACATTAAAACAACTTGATATCAACAATTGATTTTGAATGCCGATATTTAACTAGTTGAAATTCAATTGCTGATCATTTCTGATGTCATTGTTGATATCAAGAATTAAGATTGTGACTAGTAAAAAAATGTATTGTTGATATCAAGAATTCATATCCTGAGAATGAATAAACGTCAAAACGGCTTGCCATAGACGAAATGCCAGGTGAGGTTATGTTGCACATCAGGTTTTTCTGGCTCGCTGTTAAAACTGGAAGAATAAATCCTCTCTAAATCCCAAACCATGTTGTCACTTTAACTTGAACATGTCAGAAAAGATAGACCTGATTGTCTAAAATACATAATATTAGTTCTAACACTTTATAAGTATGCATGCGCTAACAACTCGCTTATAAATCATTTGCAAGCTATTAGTTTATACATTGTAGTCTTTGACATTGTTACTATGCAATGCACAAATAGTGATTTTTTAATTAATTATCATTGTAATTAACACTATTATTGTTTAATTAGCTCAGATGTAAAGAGTTAATGTGAGAGCGAGTGTGTTTTTTATTATTCTTTAACATCTTGTAACAGTTGTAAAATCATAATGTATCAAATGCATAAATGAATCAACTCACTTCATACATAAACATTGCTTCCATTTTAATTAATAGCGTTAATGTTTTCATGAACCGTTAAAGGCTCTTGTTTCAAATCGGACTGGTCTCATTGTTTATATGGAGATATGTAATAATGTAACATTTACGAGAGTAAAACTTACTTTGTATACGTTTGGATTGATGCTGAAACGTGCGATATTGATGCACTGACCGCTTCTAACATGTTAACATTTATTATTATATACTAACAGTTTACAGAAATGCAACATAATTGCAATTAAATTCCGTTAATTCATTATTCATAGATTAAATAAGGATATGTAATGTCATGTGCAGGGCTCCATGTGAGCTAATTAATCAATAATAATCTGTTAATTACAGTGACGGTGAAGGAAGAACTCATTATTTGTTTACAGCCAGTATTAACAATGTTGAGGCTTTTCAAATGGTTTATAAGTGCTTTATTGCTGTATGCTTATTATAAAGTGTTAGCGAATCACGCAGCGGTACACTTGCTGGTTTGGTTCATCATAATACATATGTAGTAATATTATCACGTCTCTAAGGCTCCGGCTGTGGCTGTGAAGCGGTCGATCACGGTCCGGAAAATTGCACCCAGGAAAACTCAGGTAATTCTCATAAACTCTTCCCAGTATCATGTTTATGTTTGGGCTGTACCTGAAATGCGTGATGTGGTCATGTGGAAATGTTCCTCTAGGCGCTGTGTGACGGTAACAAGGAGAATGTGGAAAGATTATCTGAAGCATCTGCGCCGAGCACAGCGGTCCTCTCGCCCATCCTGCCTCCTCCGTCTCCGTCTCCGTCTGCGCAGCCCAAAGAACCGGAGCAGGACCCCGTTTGGCCCCAGAAAGTGCGGCGCTCCTACAGTCGCCTGAGTGTGGGGGACAGGTCCTGCGACAGCCCCAAATCCCTTCCTGCACCGTCCACTTCTCCCAACACCCCAGAGACCCTGTTTGGGTTCGAGAGGCTTCAGACGCCAGAGGTGATGCGTAAAGCCGAGGGACCTCGACCGGCTCCTCTGGGCTTCTCAGTGGGTTCCTTCAACATCTCCGCTGCTGAGGACGGCGCGTCCAACCCTCCAGAGATCGATCCCAACATCCCGGGGGTGTGTCTGGGGAAGAAGACGGCCAGGAGGAAGCGCGTACAGCAGATAAAGGTGAGAAGGACATGCTGATATAAACATCTCATGAAGTCTAAAGGTGAAGTGTGCAACTGTGTATGCTCTTAAAGGAATAGTTAAACCCAAAAATATTAACACTTTCTGAAAATGTACACACTTTCAGGTCATCCGAGATGAAGATGAGTGTGTTTCTTCATCAGGTTTGGAGAAATGTAGCACTGCATCAGTGTCTCAGCAACGGATGCTCTGCAGTGAATGGGTGCCGTCAGAATGAGCGCTGATAAAAACATCACAATAATCCACAGCACTCCAGTCCATCAGTGAACATCTGGAGAAGACAAAAGCTGAAACACATCCAGCATTAAGATGCTTTTAACTCAAATACCATTGAGTCTATAATCCATAATAACGCTTCCTCCAGTGAAAAAGTGCATCTGCTGTTGTCTCTCGCATCAAAATCCAGCCACATATGTGTTTAGAGCTGTTTAACCGCTGCTTGATCTGTGCAGATTTCTCTCCTGATTCACACCAGAACACTGACTCACTGGAGGAAGAGTTATTATGGATTATAGACTCTATGTATTTTAGTTTAAAAGCATCTTAATGCTGGATGTGTTCAGCTTTTGTCTTCTCCAGATGTTTCACTGATGGACTGGAGTGCTGTGGATTATTGTGATGTTTTTATCAGCTCTCATTCTGACGGCACCCATTCACTTGCAGTGAGACACTGATGCAATGCTACATTTCTCCAAATCTGATGAAGAAACAAACTCATCTCGGATGAACTGAATGTGGAAAAAATGCTCAGTAAATTATAATTTTTAAATTGCTGATTTAACTTAAATTTTTTAAAGGTATTTTAAAATTAACGTTTCCAAAACAGGGACACTTGTCGCAGTGATGCCATAAAGAACTATTTTTCAAGCTTTCAGTCAACAGTTCTGTTTCTTCGTGTGAAGAACATCTGAATCATCTAAAGAGCCTTTAGCGCAGTGGAGAGTTTTCATGATGCCAGTACAGAATCTGTCATTTCTACTTCACCCAATAGAATTGCAGAAATGAGTTTGAAACGGGGAGGGCTTGTTTATTGATTCTGATCAGTTGTGATGTTTCCGGCTCTTTCAGACGTCGGAGCTGGACGCTCTTGCCGCGGAGATGAATGCAGAGTTTGAGGAAGCAGAAAGTTTTGACCTGTTTGTTGAATAAAGAGCCGCACGCTCGGGACATTTTCAGGACACGTCATACTTCTCATTATTATTCATCACGTTTACGGCCCTCTGCTCGCTAAATCTTACTCCACTGAAAGCTTGTTTTAAGAGTTTTGTTGCTCTGATATAGTTTGATTTCCACAATGCTACAATCATCAATACATCTTTGAATGACATTCAGAGATTTCACAGATGAAAAAACCTGTCGGTCTTTGTTTTTTGTTTTTCCGTATTGGATTGATCAGTTTGGCTAAAATCATTTAGCCCAAATCTCATGGTAGATGTTTTTTGTTTACTACACAACCGCAGAGGCCTAATGTTTGAATAAATAGCGGTTTAGAGGAGTAGTAGCCTGTAGAGCTGAAAGTGTGCATTCTGTTGTAAAAATAAGATCTGTAGACATGAAGCAGTTAAACCAAGCTTTGCTGATATATATATATATACATTTAGCCTTATTTAACATTGTCTACTTTGTCTTGTCCTTTGTTGTGTGACGAGAAGGTAACTATTTATTGTTTTGTTTTCATTAAATTGAAGTGCTTCCTAATTTCCTCTTTAATGTTTTCCAGAATGTAAATTAACCCTGTAAAGCCTGACACATGAAGTAATTGTAAAAAATAATATGTGACCCTGCAGCACAAAAGCAGTGTTGAGTCGCTGGGGGATATTTGTAGCAATAGCCAACAATACAGCAAACCGACACGTGAACCTTTTATAATTCTAAATCATTACAATTTTATGATTATACCAAATCCTTTCACTTTCTGAATGAATATAAACTGTAACTCAAATGACAGAAGGCGTGCGGTAGATTGCGCACAACAGGTTTTTCAGCAGAGATTTGGTCATTTCGAGGCTGGCAGTGAGTTGTGCTGTTATATAATGAGAGGAGGCTGATGGGAAACGATCGTCCTTGCGTGGCTTTTCATTCAGCGCTCATCTGTTCTCTTTCTGAAGGTTACATGTCATTGCAGTTTGACATTGACTGGCTGGGTGTCTGAGCAGTGTTACATAACTGATCATTGATCGTCTCTAGCAGGATGACACTTTTAGGGATGCTAGATGACTGCTCCGAGATGAACACATCCACGTTTTAGCTCCCTAGCTTGCTGGGAACGATGCTGAGCAAAGACAAGACCAAGGAAATCAAAGCAATGTGATTTACAATGGTGAAAATGTGCATTTATACTCCTCGGTTTCTTGTTTTTGTTTGAAGCATGGTTCTATTTCTCCTAGTATTCCCGTGAGTGTGTTTCTTGTTAAAGACGTTATATTTGGATTCTCTATAATATACAGTATACATGATAAACATTGTTTTTTGTAATGTTATTCTGAAGTATAGCTGTAGTGCATTATTACTAACCCTAACTATAGATTTACAGTATATACTGTACTAGCTATATATTATATAATCATAAATATTATTAGGAATGATAATATATCGATTTAGTAGAATACAGTATAATAAGCTGTTATAGAAATCAACCAAATAACAAAAATACAGTGAAACACTGCTTCACTGTATTATTCTGTGCTCTGTAAAGCGCTGAACACTCAGAAGTATATTCTGCTGTTCTTCTAAAACTTTATTTATGGCATCAGGATGTTTCACATTCAGTGGCATGGACGGCGAGGGCAAACATGTGCCTGTGAACGTGTTTTATGATTAATGTTGTAAATTCAAATTGATTCTCAATGAATCCATCCTCCATCAGCCTCGTTGCAGATGCAGATACACGCACAGGCCTGAAGCAAAGGAAACTATGAACCATAGTGCAGTATGTTCCATGTCAATTTACTAATTTATCAGTGTTTTATTAAAATGGCGAGACCGTGTGCAAGGTCAAAATGAAAAGATGAGACTGTTACTTGGTGAAAATACCACTTAAAAACAACAAAACATGTTTACAGTTGTGGTCAAAGGTTTGCATGCACCTTGCAGAATCTGCAACATGTTCATTATTAGAGGGATCACACAAAATGCATGTTAATTTTTATTTCGCACTGGCCTGAATAAGATATTTCACACGAGAGACGTTTACACACAGTCCACAAGAGAAAATAATAGTTGAATTTATAAAAATGACCCCGTTCAAAAGTTTACATACGCTTGATTCTTAATACTGTGTGGTTACCTGATAGTTGTTCGTGAGTCCCTTGTTTGTACTGAACAGTTAAACTACCTGCTGTTCTTCAGAAAAAAACCCAGCTCCCACTAATTCTGTGGGTTTTTTAGCATTTCTGTGTATTTGAACCCTTTCCAACGATGACTGAATGATTTTGAGATCCATCTTTTCACACTGAGGACAGCTGAGGGACTCAAACGCAACTATTTCAGAAGATTCAAACATTCACTGATGCTCCAGAAAGAGAAACCACGCGTTAAGTGCAAAGTGAATTTGAAGATCAGGGTAAATTTGACTTATTTTGTCTTCTGGGAAACATGCAACTATCTTCTGTAGCCTATGTAGGGCAGTACTAAATGAAAAAAATATGATATTTAGGCAAAATAAGAAAAATGTACACATCTTCATCCTGTTCAAAAGTTTTCACCCCCCTGCTCTTAATGCATGGTTTTATCTTCTGGAGCATCAGTGAATGTTTGAACCTTTTTTAATAGTTGTGTTTGAGTCCCTCAGCTGTCCTCAGTGTGGAAAGATGGATCTCAAAATCATACAGTCACTGCTGGAAAAGGTTCAAATACTCAAAAGATGCTGGAAAACCACAGAATTAGTGTGAGCTGGGGGATTTCTCTGAAGAACAGCAGACAGTTCAGCTGTTCAGTACAAACAAGGGACTCATGAACAACCATCACTAAACACAAACACACACATCTGTGGATCATTCAGCTAACCACACAGTATTAAGAATCAAGCGTATATAAACTTTTGAACTTTTTTAATTCAACTATTATTTTCTCTTGTGGACTATATGTAAACGTCTTTTTATGGGTCTCTTAACTAGTTGCTTATTAGCATGCATATTACTAGAATATTAGCCATTTATTAGTATTAATTAAGCACATATTCATACTTACATGACCTTATTCTACATCCCTAATCCTACCCAATACCTAAACTTAACAACTATCTTACTAACTATTAATAAGCAGCAAATTAGGAATTTATTGAGAGAAAAGTCGTAGTTAATAGTGAATAAGTGTTGCCTATTTTAAAGTGCTACCATAATATCTTATTCAGGTCAGTACTAAATAAAAATTAACATGCATTTTGTGTGATCCCTCTTATTTTGGTAAAATAATTAACATTGTGCAGATTCTGCAAGGTGTATGTAAACGTTTGAGCACAACTGTATAAATGATCTCTAAAGTCCTAAAAAGATAATTGAATAACATTATGCAGCTTATTTCATCTGATGCCCCCCAACATTAAAAGAAGTAGCAACTAGTGCCTTCCATGGAAAATAATCTCCCCTTCAGAGTGAATTGATGTTCTTGTCATTGCTGTACAAATCTGCCATGGGCGCTTCAGACAGTGAGACAGGAATTATTGACATCTGGTGCTCACACTGTGCTGCTGGCTGCTGGAAAATCAGCCCGGTCAGATAAAGGGGCCGGACAAACATGCATAGAAAAGTTGTGAAAGTACCAGAGCTCTCATCATCTCTTTCGAACCCTTCAAGTACGCAACATCTGTTTGCTGTGGCTTGTCATTTTCTTTTGTTTGGAATTAAGTAATTGTGTTTTTAAATTGATATTACACATCAAAGGTTTGCATGCACCTTGCAGAATCTGCAACATGTTCATTATTAGAGGGATCACACAAAATGCATGTTAATTTTTATTTCGCACTGGCCTGAATAAGATATTTCACACGAGAGACGTTTACACACAGTCCACAAGAGAAAATAATAGTTGAATTTATAAAAATGACCCCGTTCAAAAGTTTACATACGCTTGATTCTTAATACTGTGTGGTTACCTGATAGTTGTTCGTGAGTCCCTTGTTTGTACTGAACAGTTAAACTACCTGCTGTTCTTCAGAAAAAAACCCAGCTCCCACTAATTCTGTGGGTTTTTTAGCATTTCTGTGTATTTGAACCCTTTCCAACGATGACTGAATGATTTTGAGATCCATCTTTTCACACTGAGGACAGCTGAGGGACTCAAACGCAGCTATTTCAGAAGATTCAAACATTCACTGATGCTCTTAATGCATGGTTTTATCTTCTGGAGCATCAGTGAATGTTTGAACCTTTTTTAATAGTTGTGTTTGAGTCCCTCAGCTGTCCTCAGTGTGGAAAGATGGATCTCAAAATCATACAGTCACTGCTGGAAAAGGTTCAAATACTCAAAAGATGCTGGAAAACCACAGAATTAGTGTGAGCTGGGGGATTTCTCTGAAGAACAGCAGACAGTTCAGCTGTTCAGTACAAACAAGGGACTCATGAACAACCATCACTAAACACAAACACACACATCTGTGGATCATTCAGCTAACCACACAGTATTAAGAATCAAGCGTATATAAACTTTTGAACTTTTTTAATTCAACTATTATTTTCTCTTGTGGACTATATGTAAACGTCTTTTTATGGGTCTCTTAACTAGTTGCTTATTAGCATGCATATTACTAGAATATTAGCAATTTATTAGTATTAATTAAGCACATATTCATACTTACATGACCTTATTCTACATCCCTAATCCTACCCAATACCTAAACTTAACAACTATCTTACTAACTATTAATAAGCAGCAAATTAGGAATTTATTGAGAGAAAAGTCGTAGTTAATAGTGAATAAGTGTTGCCTATTTTAAAGTGCTACCATAATATCTTATTCAGGTCAGTACTAAATAAAAATTAACATGCATTTTGTGTGATCCCTCTTATTTTGGTAAAATAATTAACATTGTGCAGATTCTGCAAGGTGTATGTAAACGTTTGAGCACAACTGTATAAATGATCTCTAAAGTCCTAAAAAGATAATTGAATAACATTATGCAGCTTATTTCATCTGATGCCCCCCAACATTAAAAGAAGTAGCAACTAGTGCCTTCCATGGAAAATAATCTCCCCTTCAGAGTGAATTGATGTTCTTGTCATTGCTGTACAAATCTGCCATGGGCGCTTCAGACAGTGAGACAGGAATTATTGACATCTGGTGCTCACACTGTGCTGCTGGCTGCTGGAAAATCAGCCCGGTCAGATAAAGGGGCCGGACAAACATGCATAGAAAAGTTGTGAAAGTACCAGAGCTCTCATCATCTCTTTCGAACCCTTCAAGTACGCAACATCTGTTTGCTGTGGCTTGTCATTTTCTTTTGTTTGGAATTAAGTAATTGTGTTTTTAAATTGATATTACACAATATTCATTGTTCTTTGATCCCTTGAGGAAGTCTGGTTTCTTTTCTCTGTTGGCATTTTTGATCATTTTAAGGTAAGATACTGCAATATCACATAGCTAACTTGTAAGAGTTTTTATTTTGTTAATTAAAAAAAGAGAGTTATGTATTACAATTTTCTTTGACACTTAAGTATTCATTAAGTATTTTCTTTTAATTCCTGTCTATTTTT